TATTGAATTTGGATCGAGTAATATATATATGGTTATCGATATTTAAAAATAAAATACTCACGAACATCCATTAAAGAAATCATGAGAAGCACCCAATAATTCCCAGACAAAAGGATCGTTTGTTACTAAATTTATAAAAGTTAATATTTGTTGAGGAATTAGGATTTTTTTATTAGCATTGTCTTCGAACCCTTAATCATCGGTTACCTGAAAAGTGAGACGCGTCATGTAGCTGATTTAATCCAATCTATTCAAACAAGAAATGATAAGCCTCGTGTATTTAATTCAAATTTACGAACTAATGATATGTACCTGTGCACATGAGAATCCCATTACGATTGCAAATATAATTTGTAGCCAAGTTCTCTCGACAACGTATGGTAGATAAAATTGAGCATAATAAGAACCCAATAGCATACCGTAGATAATAACATAACGAAGCCAAATGCTTGGACTGTTCTAATAGCGAGAATAAAAACGAACGGCTGGAATCATTTACAGGTTATGACCAGAAATTTCCGGCGTCAAAGGAGAACGTAAAGTTACCTTTGGATCAATTTCATTTTTCCGAAAATATTCTTCGACTCTCTAAAATTCGGATTAAAGGAATTTAAATAGGCAGATCGAAAAAAAATATCAGAATATAATCTAAATCGAATATATTACCTTCTTTAATGTGCGATGAAATTCGCTTTGTTCCGGGAAAATCGGTAATTCATTGGATACAAGAGTTCCAATAAAATATTTTCTGATCGGAAAAAAAATTTTTAATGAATTAACACCGGTTACTGGAAAGCTACAATCTCGAAAGAATTTCTTACTTGAGGATGATATCAGGTTTCCCAAGTTCGTGGTATGTCTCAAATGCCTATTCCCAAATACCGATCAGAAAAACCCGCAAACATTTCATATGCGAACAAATTATTTCGGCATTTACCTGAGTAACATCTCTCCCTGCGGCAAACAACAAAATATCCTCACCACCCGGATGATTTTTTATGAAATTCGTGATATCATAGACATTTCCACGAACAGCAACATAGGCGTCATCACGTGTGTTGTGCTTGGCAAGCTCTTCCCATGTAAATTTTTTACCTGGGCGCTGGGCATCGATCTTATCAGTTATACTACGCATCTATCAACAAGCAAAACAACGAATGACTAAAATAATAAAAATTGCGCGAAAAAATATGAATAATAATTTTTATCAACTGGGTTTTTTGATGGATTAAGGTCGGATAAATACAAATAAATCATCATCGAATTTTATTTTTACCTTTTTTCGAATAAGATGTTTAATGAAAGAATAATATAAGGAAACTTCACCGTGTTTCAATGAGGTCTTTAATGGATGTTCGTGAGTATTTTATTTTTAAATATCGATAACCATATATATATTACTCGATCCAAATTCAATA